CGTAATATCTTTGGTTGACTCTGTAGGCTGAGTGAGCTCTTTGTGAACTCATGGCATAAATTGACACACACTGAATATTCCTCTTTAATAAAAGAAAAAGAAGAAGAAAAAAAAAAAAAGATTAAAATTATGTCAAGTTAATGTCATCATTTTTTTGGACTTTTAACATAAGTATACCAACTGTATTAATCTTTATTACTGTAAAGTAAGTCTTGACTTTTTTCTTTACAAAAGCACACCAAATGGTAATAATACACATTATTCCACACGGCTAGACTATAATTTACATCCTACACTTCCACACGCAAAATTTTATCACTTGAAATAACATAGCAAATTGTGTGGGTTTTAAATTTTAAGTACCTTAAAATCTAATTCTTATGCTAATGAACACTGTCATAAAAAATATTGACTCATTTTTTGTTAATTTCCAACCTGTTTTTACAAATTCACTACAAAATGGCAGTCAGTAGCAAAGGTTCAAGTATTTTTTTTAGGTATATGCATCATAGCTCCCCAAAATCTATGCACAAAACACATGGACTGATAAAAAAAATGAAAAAAATTCTTTCAAAGCAAAATGTCATGTAAGACTAGTCACTAACTTGGTACTCTTTGTCCAACCAACCTGACTCAACTCAAAAGCTGCTCTGTGGTTAGGTGTGTTACTAGATGTTACAGGGCACTCCATTCAAGCCAAAATGGCAAAGCTGGAGTCTATTGAACGTAATTTACAAAGGGTTATTGACTTTAAGGTTCCAATTTGGTCTGACTGTAGCAGCCATCTGGAAGGGAGATCTTAATCTCAAAGATATTTTGAACTTCAATTCTTAGTCGCCTAATTTCCTCTTCATAGAGTGAAATCTGGCGTTCCTGCCAGCTGCGGGATTCAGATAATTCGGTGACTGTGGACTCAATTCCACTTTGATGGTACATTTGCCATGCCTCTTCCAGACGCAATTCTAGAGACTCCAACTGTTCTGGGTCTAAGTCTGGAGATCGTTCCAAGATATCCAAAATTTCCTGTACAAACTCATATGCTTCACGGACTCTAGAACTGGCTTCATCTGCCCTGTCCTTTGCCTGGTTAGCTTTCTCTTGAGCTTCCATAACCTGCTGTTCATCTTGCAAAGCCTGAGCCTCAAAGGTGCTCACACGAGCATCTGTTTCTGCAACTCTCCCAGCCAACTCATCTGCCATGTCGTTCAGTGTGCTGGCTTCATTCTTAGTAGCATCTGCCTTGGTGCGGACATCTCCTGCCTGATTGCTTGCATCTTCTGCTGTGCTCTGGGCATCCTTGGCAATGTCCCGAGCATCCTTAGCATCAGACTCTGCCCCCATAAGTGCTTCCTCAGCCTCCTTAGTTTGTGTCTCAGCTTCAACAATAAGGGCTTCAATCTCTCCCACAGTTTCTAGAGTAGCTTCTGCTTTCAGACGGCTCTCCTGAACTTGCTTGTCAAATCCTGAAATATGGCAGAAGTTTTTGAACTTCAGAAATGTTTAACTTGTAAATCCTTTTAAGGCATTCACCACAGATAAATGGTATGTTAAATTCTACAACTCAAAATACGTAAAAACTATACATTTATATTTCACCTTCTATAGTACATACCTTCCAGGATAGCAAGAGTTTCAAGAGCTTCAGATAAGGTCTGCTCTGCTTTTGCTCTTGCTTCTTTAGCTTTTCCCTCTGCAGTGAAAGTGTCGGCTAAGAGCTCTGTGGTTATTTGCTGCTCGATCCAACCACGCTCTACCAGATCTGACGTTACCTCAAGCTGTACTTCAATGTCAGTTATAAGGGCACTTCTCTCATCAATCAATCCCTCGGTATCCTGCTTAATTCTCTCTGCCTCGTTGATGATGGCCACAGCTAGAAAGACAAACAACATAGTCAAATTTTGAATAATCACTAATCTGTGCTATGCCATATCACTGAAAAGAATGGAACAAAATAATCTGAATGTATTTAACTCTACTGGAAACGATGTTCATTTAATAAAATAGGAAATTCTCAGGAGTGGGGACTACCTTGAGCTTTCAGCACACTAGTATCAATGGGTGGAATGGCAATGCTAGAAGCCTCTGTGTTGATTTCCAAGGCTTCTCTGTATGTCAATTTAGCTTGTTGTAGAGATTCATTGGCAGTCCTCATGGTACTGTCATGGAGAGATGACAGGCCTTGCACATCATCATTAAGTTTCTGACAAAGAAAGAAAGGAAAAAATAGATGATCTGCAATCTTTTCATAATATCTGATAGTTGTAAATTAATCTACCTTTCTAGAAGACAAGGAAATTAATGCATATTTCAAATCAAGCAATCCATATGATATGTTGTACATAATAATCTACATGGCTGTATTACCTTAATGAAATCTGTAATATTTCTTTGGTCATCCATAGCCTTACGTGCAAGCTCAAAGGCATCATTAGAAGTATTACGAGCATTATAAGCCAAAACTTCAATACTTGTAGCATCATCCTCCTGCCTGAAAAGTTAAGGGCAACATTAAAGCAAATAATAAAAGAAATTCCATAGACTTCTTTACGATTGCATATAAATATTACAATTAATGCATATAATAATATGATGAATTAAAACTGGTAAACAAGAGAAAGTGAGGTGTGAGGAGGATCAGGGAAAGCAGGAAGTTGGAGGGAAAGCAAGGGAAGGAAGTAGGGAGGGTAGTAGGGAGAGAGAAAGAGAAAGCTGGAGAGGGAGGAGGGAGGGAGGAGGGGGGAGGGAGGAGGGAGGGAGAGGGAGGGAGGGAGGGAGAAAGGAAGGAAGAAGAAAGGGAGAAGAGAGAGGGAGAGGGAAATTTTGAGAAGGGAAGGAGGGAGTGAGTGAGAGAAGGTACAATAAGAAAAAGGGAAGGAGATAACGAAAGCTAGATAGACAGAGAGAGAACTTACTCATCCGCTAAGAGACGAGCTTCCCGAGCAATCTTGGACATGCGCTCTGACTGTTGTCCAAACTGGTTGGAGCGGTCAAAAGCCTTGCTTAGAGCATCATTGCCCTGGACATCCAAATAGATCTGTGCATTCTGTAATATAGAAATAAAAATGTATCTAAATGTTTAAAATATCACTTAAACTGACACACATTAATGAATATACACATCCATAAATACATACATTTAATATCACATTATATAATACATTAATAAAAAAAAAAGAGAAAAAAAAAAGAAAAAAAAAAAATAAATATATATATATATACACATAAATATATATAGACACACACACACACACACACACACACACACACACACACACACACACACACACATACACACACACACACACACACACACACACACACACACACACACACACACACACACACGTATATATGTATATACATATGTATATGCATACATACCTAGACACATACATATGTATGTACCATTACTTGACTGTAAACTCACTGTAAGGGCTTCTCGTGCTCTTTTGATAATATCTTCAGCCTGTGTAATGTTTAGCTTTCCAAGTGTTGCCAGATCTGAGCCACGGCCAACTGCCTGTCGTATGCTCATCAAAACCTCTTTGACACCATTGATGCGTTCTTCCAGTTCCTCAATGTGCTGTGCCACTGTCTTGTCTCCTGTGGTGTGGAGGAAGGGAAAAATGGAATTCCGTATGATTAAATGATTGAGATATCAAAGACATAATTATCTTAAAGTCAATTCATCTATGTTTATCGCTTCAATACACAGTAAAAAAAAAATCCTACCACCAGATTTGGCTGCTTCCCGTGCATCTTCCCAAAGCTGGTCAACTTGGGTCATGACAGTCGACAGCGTTTCTTCAAAGTCTTCATCATTGAGCACAGTTGGGTTGCTTACAATGTCTGCTAGGAGGCGCTCCAGCTCAGCCAATCGCTCACGGTGGACACTCACACTGTCCAGTACCAGGTTGTAGCAAGCAGGGCAGTCTAGAGGAATAAATTTTTTGGGGATATTGTCCCTTCAGTTTTAAAAATATGAAGCAAGACATATTGTGAGCAATGGTACCTCAGATCACTTGGCATTAATTGTGATTTCTATTTTTTGCCTAATCAAGGATTTGGTCCATCATAACTACCTATCTGTTTGTCTACCTATCTATCTATCTACATTTATGTATGTTGATTTATACAAACTTATCAAATACAAGAGACAAACAAAAAATAAAACTGTAATAAAAATGCATCTAATTGTGGACATGACTTACCTCTACATCCAGCCTGTTTATCATAGGTGTTCTCTCGGCAACGGTCACATCTTCGGCCTTCCACATTTTCTCGGCACTTTATTCCAACAAACATACATGATAATTTATAGAAATATGTTGTTGATGAGCAATGGATATATATATATATATTTCAAATTTCAAATTCATAATAGACCTATGAAAAATAAAACTATCTAGGCAAAAAAACCTGGATTGTCTTAATAATCAAAACCAACTATATTAAATCTTTGTCACATTACTTTATTTCAGAACAAAAGGTGAATTACACTGAAATTAAAAACCATATTTCAGGTTAGTCTATACCTGAAAATGTTTCAAATATATAACCTCATCAATCTTACCGGGCACTGGCCTGTGGCATCACACTGCAGGGAAACAGAGCCAATCTGGTCACAGTCACAGGGCTTGCATCCATCAAGTGAGAAGCCGTAATGGAAGGGTTCACACATATCACACTTGCGTCCTGTGACTCCAATGCGGCAGACACACTGGCCATAGTCTGTGTTGCAAGTCCCGTTGAGTGCTCCTACAGGGTCACAGTTGCATGGTTCACATCCCTGTGATGAAAATTTTAGTAAAGTAGTAGTCATAAAAGACTTTCGATTGTAGTAGACACAATATACAATAGTTCTGTGATAATATACTTATTTCTTCCTACTCAGTAAAGAATGAATGCATACAACAAAGTAAAAAACTTACCACACCACTGGTAAGGTTCCAGAATCCAGGCTCACATTGGTCACACTTAAGTCCTATGACATGGGGCTT